ACGCACACGTACTCACACACACACACACACGCACGTACTCACTCACACACACACTCACATGCACGCACACACGCACGCACACGTACTCACACACACACACACACGCACGTACTCACTCACACACACACTCACATGCACGCACACACGCACGCACACGTACTCACACACACACACACACGCACGTACTCACTCACACACACACTCACATGCACGCACACACGCACGCACACGTACTCACACACACACACACACGCACGTACTCACTCACACACACACTCACATGCACGCACACACGCACGCACACGTACTCACACACACACACACACGCACGTACTCACTCACACACACACTCACATGCACGCACACACGCACGCACACGTACTCACACACACACACACACGCACGTACTCACTCACACACACACTCACATGCACGCACACACGCACGCACACGTACTCACACACACACACACACGCACGTACTCACTCACACACACACTCACATGCACGCACACACGCACGCACACGTACTCACACACACACACACACGCACGTACTCACTCACACACACACTCACACACATACATGCACGCACGTACTCGCACGCACGTACTCACTCACTCACTCACTCACACACACACACACACTCACACACATACATGCACGCACGTACTCACACACACATGCACGTACTCACTCACTCACTCACTCACACGCACGCACGCACACATGCACGTACACACACACACACTCGCACACACGCACGCACACGTACTCACACACACTCACATGCACGCACGCACGCACACACGCACACACGCACGCACACGCACCACAGAACCTCACTCACACACACACACACACACACCACACACACTCACTCACACACACACACGATAGGTTGACATATAACAGATTTACATTTTATTCTCATTTAGATTTTAGAATTTTTGAAGTTCACCTAGACCGTCTTACGCTGGGACTAATTTTTAATTCCATGTTGTTTCTAATAATTTGTAAGATTTTTAGAATTGGCATTTTAATATTTTCTGATTTCATTTTAGTTATTTAGTTATTATTTTGTTGTGTTGTCATTTTTATTAGTTTTTTAAAAATACATCTGTAGATTTTTAAAAAATGTTTCTTTTAGTTCTTTTAGTTATTTTGTACATCAGGTTAAACTAAATGAAAATAAGACATTTTATTTCAGTTTTTTTTTTTTTTTAATGATTTTAGTTTTAGTTACCTGGAACACCTCTGAACACCACAGGACTGAATGCACATGGATTCATATAAACATACATACGCAATAATCAACAGGTTTTTAATATTATTTGGATCAGCTAGCAAACAGAACGCGCAATTGAAGTTCAAATTAAAGCAAGAGTTAAAATCACCTGAAATTCAAAGAAATTTAGCTTTAAGTGAAGTTTTAAGACAATTTCAGCATTTGACTGAAAGATGAAGCCAGAGTAGATGATTAGTTTCTAATCCCAGAAAGCCGTGCTGTTGAGTCAGATCTTCTCTGTTGTTGAGATGGAGTGTGTATGAATGCATCTCTGAGTGTTTCTGGAGCGCCGCTGCTGTGTGTGAAGCTCTGAATGAATCCCTCCTGTGTGTGTGTGTGTGTGTGTGTGTGTGTGTGTGAGAGAGTGTGAGAGAGTGTGTGTGTGTGTGTGTGTGCGTCTGCCTCTCTTCAGCTTTATTGCCTACGAAAGCTCTTCGCTCCTGAACAAACACGCAGCGCTCGCTCTCTAAGACAGGTTGTGCACTGTAAGCTGGAGGAACAGGGTTAGTTTGATGCTTAATTGCAGACTGAGAGACTAATAGACTCTGCCACAAACACACCTCAGACGGAGATTTAAGCCTTTCTTGACAACATTAACTCAGGATGGCATACGCACGGCTGGAGGGTTTACTATTATTGTCTATTTCAGAGGACAATACAAGACACTTCATTCTGGGGAATAATGATTGAGAATAATAATATTCTATTTAGTAAAGCTTGCGTATAGACATCTTTTTATAGCATTTACCTTCATAGAATGAAGTGGAAAGATAAAGTGACCAAATCAAGCCAGTTTGTTTTCGATATTTTCATACGTCTGAATACGACTGACGTGAAATTTGCATTATAATATTAAAAAACCAAAAATGTTCCCCCAGTAAATACAACTTAAGAGACACTTCTTTTATAGCGTGTACCTATATACAGTAAAAACAAGCATATGCCGTAAAGAAAAGACAACCAAAATGTACCAGATATTTTGATGCGTCTAAATTTGGCTGGCGTGAAATTTGCATTATAATATTAAGAAATTTCATTTTGGGGATGAATTATTGGAAATTATTATATATATATATATATACACACACACACTTAGTTTTATAGCATTAACTTTCTATAAAAATAAGTAAAAAGAAACATAAAGAGAAAAACTAACCAAACCAGTTTGAATGTGATGTTTTGATACTGTTGTGAAATGTAGATCACATGATATCGCTTCAATGTAGAAGTTGCTTTTGAATTTAAATATTTAAATAAATGTGAACAATGCTTTTATAAAGCGGAGAGTTCCGGTGCTTGATTCTGATTGGCTGAGCCGCGTTCGAAGCTGTTGTAAATGACGCTACAAATTAACACACACCTTTGTTTACGTCTGTGTGTTGCTCGGCAACTACTTTGTAGCAACCACAACTGTTTCTGAGGAGCTACATTGTTTGGTGGAAGAATACTGTGTTTATTAATATCTTTACACTTTATTTGCTCCGTTTTATTTTGTGAAGCCGTACTACGAGGCTTACTGCTTTATTCAAGAATTGCACTTCGAAACATTCTTACAAACTTCTTAGTGTTTTTGTGTTTTCAGCGTTCTGGAGTCCGGCCCCGTGATGTTTTACAGGTGATCTTTCAGTAAGGCGCGTTCAGATCTTGAAAGAAAATGTAGTGAAGCGTAACGGCAGCGTCTGCAGCGGTGACGGGAGTGAACGTGTGTTTGGCGCTCTACACAGAGGCCGTCTGTCTGTGTATTGTGAGGGTTATTCTGGGGTCTGTTCTCATGCAGCATGACTGAGAGAGAGACTCACAGCGTCAGCACATTCAGAGCGAGCCAGTCGCTTACCGTAAAGACTGAATCCTAGAATAAATAAAGAAGAGATCTTTATAGAAGTGTGGGATGAACGCGAGTGTGGTTTATATATATATATACACACATGCGACTGTATAGTCTGAATCTATTGACTGTAACGCTCTGAGCTCCGTTAACTATGAACACATATTATTTTGTTTTGAGTGTCATAGTTTCATTATTTATCATCATTATATTTATTTAATTATCATTTTCAATTCTGTTGTACTGCACATTATAGCAGTTTAGTTTTCAGTTCTTCGTGAACTTGCGTACGTTTGCAAAGTAATGAAAACTGAACTGCAGCTGAAGATGCTTTATGAACATGTGAACAGTTCATCTTGTTAATAAATATTGTAAATATAGCAGTGGTCAGTTCTAAAATCAGTGCGATTGCAGTGACAAATAAAGGCTGTGCATAAGATTATTACATGCTGTTAACCGATACAACTTTTGATTTTACAGATAGGTTAATAACTGCTGTAGAAATATCATTTGTTGCTAGTGTAGTTAACAAATAAAAACGTTTCGTAAAGTGTTACTGACACTTTGATTGTTTTACACAGTGTTTAAATGTAACATTTAAGCAACAACAACAAATTGCTCTTCGTGTGGTGACAGTAACGTGAATGAGAAGATCAGTGTAGGAGACAGTGGGATAAACTGAAGCAAACCACTCGTGCTGTAGTTCTCTGTGCGGCTCAGATCATCTTTAATCGTGTTTTCACTCGTGTTGAAGGAAACCTGAATGTGACGCTGCAGGTGTGGGACATCGGAGGACAGACTATTGGAGGAAAAATGCTCGACAAATACGTCTACGGAGCACAGGTGACACACACACTCTCTCGCTCTCTCTCTCACACACACACACACTCTCTCTCTCTCTCTCTCACACACACACACACTCTCTCTCTCTCACACACACACACTCTCTCTCTCTCTCACGCACACACACACACACTCTCTCTCTCTCTCTCGCACACACACACACACTCTCTCTCTCTCTCTCTCTAGTGCCACCTGCTGCTCACACACATCACCACATTGGCTGGTGTTGGGAAGGCGTGTGTGTGTGTGTGTGTGTGTGTGTGTGTGTGTGTGTGCGTGTGCGTGCGCGTGCGCGTGTGATTGAGTGTGTGTGTGATTCTGCTAAATGTCAAAGTGAGAATCGGTTGTGAAAGTCTGTGATGTTTTACATGCATGAAACCCAGGTGATGATGTATGTGTGTGTGTGTGTGTGTGTGTGTGTGTGTGTGTGTGCAGGGCGTGCTCCTGGTGTATGACATCACTAATTCTCAGAGTTTTGAGAATCTTGAAGATTGGCTGAACATGGTGAGAAAAGCCAATGAAGAGTCTGACACACAGCTGGCAATATCACTCATCGGAAACAAGAGTGAGTACAAACACATGCACGCACGCATGCGCACACACACACACACACACTGACAGACGCACACACACACGAAGACACATAGACATACTTACACACACACACATAGACACACACACACACACACACAGACGCACACGCAGACACATAGACATACTTACACACACGCACATAGACACACGCACACACACACAGACGCACACAGACGCACACACACACGCAGACACATAGACATACTTACACACACGCACATAGACACACGCACACAGACACACACACGCACACA